GACACGGGACTAGGTACGTTCCATAAGGTCTCACTGACGCTCTGACCAAATTGCGAAACAAGGTCGAACCAAAACTATAAAGCTAAAGGCGACTGCGACCAAACAGAAGGCCACACGATCTTTGTCTTCATATCTATGATCTAGACGCTGTACTGCCTGAATTAGATTCTCGTTATGGGTGCTGATGAGATCCCTGAGAGGTGATGAGATATTTCATAGGAAACAAGGCTAAGTAAGATTTAACCAAAACGTGATGTCAACTCATAATTTTTTACAAATTCAAATATCAGCCCTTCGTTACTTTATGCAACCTAGGATGACAGTAACTCTTATTCATGATAGTCTCAAACAGATGCTTTCTCTGAATATTCTATGATTTGGCATACCACTTCATGTCTACAATACGTAAATGAAGATAAGTGAAGTTGTCATGGTCCTAGCTGTTTCCTAGCCTAAATTAACTGCTGAAATGTCAACTGTTGTTTTAGATTTTTAAATTCATGTTGGTGTTGCGTGTATGCAATAGTCATGAGTCAGTTGACATGTTAGAGCCAAAACCTGACTGAAGGTTAGTAAAGTACTCTCTTCACACTATGTGTTTCTTTAAGTGACATTTTCTCCGGTTTTTGGTAGTGCCAATTTGCGAATTCCTTCCATCTGCGTTTTCAAACGAAATGAAAGGTATACAAACCTCAACTAACGAAAAACTTATTTGAAAATTAGCTTATCTACATTAATAGAATATATTTTTTAGTGTAAAACAAAATGTTAATAAGGCAATATAATTTATTTTATACAACCAAAATTATAATAATGTAGTCATAATTAAGGCCTATAAAACAAGTTAAATTTAAAGATGAATTTGTTTTTGTATTATGTATATCAGGTTTGGGCTTCTGCTATTGTCTATTGTGTATATGTAATGCTCTTTTCATGGGAAGTGTGATAGTCCTAGCTAGACTCGAGGTTAATCCTGCCTACTTCTCTTGCTGAGAGGCTCTTCTTGCACCCGCTCTCTCTCTCTCTCTTTCCTTAAGTCTATCTAGCAGCTACAAATAGTTCCTACTGAGTTTTCTACACTCTTTCCTCCTATTCAGGAGTTTGAATGCTTTGTTAATTTCTATAGACTCCCTAATCTTACGCTTTGATGTGAAGTCCTCGTAACCCGCAAGAAGTTGTGTTTTGGGCCAGTCTATTAAGTGCCCTGTATCGGCCATGTGTTCGGAGAGCTCAAATTTTTGGACCTATGCAAGCGGTTTTATGCTCACATACTATCTTCTGGATGGGTCGGCCGGGTCTCCAGAATTGCTTTTTTTATTTATTGGTGGACAAATAAAGTAGATAGAGACGTGTATAGTAAACCCACGCACTCGGGTTTTCTCATTAATTTCCTCTCCATTAATACATAGAAGGTTAAGATAGAATTTAGAAAATTGATGATAATAAGGAGTATGCGTCTTGCAGACATCAACCACAGGGACCCGAAAGTCGGTAGATTGAGGCATATATTGTTTCAAAACAATAACCCATTCGGATTAGGGGACAATTACATATCAATTGCCAGTATCAGGATGAGAAGAGTTTGCCATATGGGACGGAATAGACAATTGGACCATTCTACAAGATCCCCGATTTTGACTTTGTCAGCTTGCGAAAAAAGTTAAGTGATTTACTGAGGAAATGGAGCATAAAAACCGTTTATAAAAAGAAATTAACACTTTCTTAGTAGTCTCTTCGTTTATAAAATTTTAGACCTATGCGTGGTCGAAACTGCAGTCCACCCTGAATGAGAACAACTTTTGGGAAGGCAAGGCTATGTGAAATTCAATGGAAATATCAGCTATACTCATATCAATGTGGGAAAATTCGACTATCAGTCCTTCATCACCTTAAACGAAATAGGTTGAATACATCTCATATGACTGATTTACTAGTAGTCTCGAAACTCTCATTACATGCAAAAGTATTAGGTTATGAAAATTCAATACAGAGGAGTTATTCATGATTCTTGACTAAGATGAGAGACTGATTTGAAATTGAGTCTATTTAGCAAAAAAGCATTATATCAATAAGCCATGTTAGAGAAAACGTCACCTTCGATCCTTCTGACCAAGCACCTTTCCATTCCCCAATACCGACACCACCAGTCTCAGTTATTAAAGGACATTGTAGACGGGCCAAATGTGCCTTAGGCCGACAAGAAGCAGCTGGTCTAAATGCATCTAAGATAGCACCGAGCATGCTGGTATTTTCGGGTACCACGATGAGTCGGGTCACTAGATAGGGATGGCCAGGCAACAAGCCTGAGTATGAAGTATTATCCGACTGAGTAGAATTGTCGTCGAGTGATACCTGGGACTCGTCTTGTTGAAGAGTAGGTCGCGCAGGGATATCATGCTGGATGAAGTAATAAGGGAGTGGATACAAAAGATGAATCCATAAAATCAATTAATAGTATCAAAACGAGAGTAAGATAGGTTATTCATAATATTCTTATTTCGTTTAAAAAGTATAGAGGGATTAGTGGACCTGTTATCAAGATGAATTTGAAGGTTGCCTGAGTCGGTGTTTAGTGAATTTTACCTTCCTTAGATATGAAATCCACAAGGATTTCGCCTTGCGAATCCTTTTAGCTAATGTTAGTTTACTTTGAGCCATGTTAAATGCAAATAAGAAGAGTTGAGGTCTGTTAACTAGGGCCTTTTATGCGCAGAAAAGCTTAGTAAGCAATCTATCAATGCTCTACTTATATCAATTTTGGCAATAATTTCGCAGTAACGGTTAGACCATGTATATAATTCGTTTAATGACAACTCCTGCTAGTATAGAAAAACAAATAAAATGCAAAATCTTCCAACGAAACTAATGTTTTAACATAGAATTGGCTAGTTTATATAAATAAAATAACTTGACTTGAGAGATAGATTTCGTTTTGTTTATAGTAAGCTCATAGGATCCTTAAATCGAATAGTAAAGTGAACAAAATTTTGCGTCAGGCCACAATTAGTCTTAAATACTTTTACATTCAAACACTAAAATGATGTTAAAATCTGACAAATTAATTTGAAGCAACAACATTTTTCAAATAAAGCCCATCAAAATGCCTACCTTTGTCACCAAAACAATAATTACACCATCGTCTAAAATTTTTTTAATTTTTTCAAACATTTCGACACGAGCCATTTCGGTATTTATGGAGGTAAAGTCAATATATTCAATCAATCCGCCTGTAAAATCCAGTAAAACATCTTCGAGTCCAATGTTTTCTAATTTACTATAGCCCCCGAGGAGTCTGGAAATACCAATTAGGAAAAAAACGATGTATTAACACATGAACTTTAATCAATTGAGCTGTCAAAATGAGAGAAAGAAAAAAGAAGAATAACAATGTGCTACTAAAACTCGATCTTGTGAAAGAAATACAGTGTGAGACAGAGTTGACAAACAAGAAAGTCCATCATAGCTAAAGCAATTCGTAAGTAACGAAGATGTCAATGTAGAGGGCAAGGATGCATCAATACAACAAACTAAACAAGTAAAAAGCACTTAGTAAGTGGTGAAACAACGGAAGATGTGTCTGCTATCTCCCTGGTTTATGTGTTTCACTCGACCCTGGCCACCCCATCTGTGCTACTTGAGGCGTTATTACCCCTTCCCTTGGTCTGGGTGACTAATTCGAGGCTAAAGCCTATGAGTAAGTATCATGGTCACGCCTTTGCTACATGGACCACGTCTCTGGTAAAGCCTACTGTCAGCCAACTAGCTCTTGTTTCCGCCGCGTCTATCCTGTTTATATCCCTAATAACAAGTCTATGACTTTCTGTCCTAGTCTCTTGCGTAAAAAACCCACAAATGTTGTGGTATTGCTTGACTTGATTAGGTTCAATGTTGAACCTCTATGTTTGTGGGTCGGCACACAAGAGACTAGGACATAGCATGTCATAAACTTAGTATTACGGATATAAACACAATAGATACGATGGAGACTGGAGCTAGTTGACTAAAAATAGATCACTTAGTATTACAGATTACAACTGGACAAAGAAGAGAATTGTAAGTCAATCCTGCCATTCGGCCTTTTTGAATTGTTGCAAACATTATGGTATCGCTCACCGATTCTGCAATCTAATAATGAAGTGTCATTCTGGCACAGTTAATAAAATACTTTAACACGCCTCCATCCATAAATAAGAGAAAATTACGAGACTGAGAAGCCTAAGCTATTTAAGTTCATAGATCTCAAGTCTAGATTATGAAGGATCTGGTTAGGGTTCTCACCCTAGATGTTTTTCAAAACTCCAGAGCATGGTCGACCACAAGTCAGAGATGGTCCGGAATCTGATAAGTGGCATG